CTATTGGTTTCAAATAGCGCTTTTTTGTCATTATTCATTCATTCCATACACAGTGGTGATAAACTACTACGTACTGTGGCCTCAGCTGCCCTGGGGTACACTGACACTGACCACCAACCAGTCACACCAGTCTCTTGCCTAAGGGCACAAAAGCAGTTTGGCACTTTTCAGCCGCAGCCGCCCCACTCTGGCACCTGGTGTTGCAAGCGGTCTCCCATCACAGTACTAACCATGCCCTGTCCTGCTTAGCTTCAGAGGTCTGACGGGTTCTAGATATCACATGCAGGTATGTTGCAACTAAAACCACAACCATATGTTCAGTTGACAGTCATGCAATCATACGCCTGTACATTGGGGTTGGTCTACAAAGCATGTGTTCAGAGTCATGTTTTCCAAAGTATATGTTACGATCCTAAACGTGGATCGGGAAGGAGAAAGGAAAGCAAAATTAATTAAAATGAAAAATATGCTCGCTAGGTAAAATCCTCCAGCTCCAGTAGTGAGATCAGCTCTCAAAACATATCTGTCTCCAACGAGTGGCACACTTGTACTTACGACAAAGCATCCCGTCCAGAAGTCAAACCGCTGCTTTATTAGCTGTAGGCTGATCCGTTGGTGGTGCAGATGGGTTTGAGCAGAGATCCCATTGGCCAGGAGGGCTCCGAACGCATGGCAACATACTTACACATGAGAAGACACACAATGAGAGGGAGAGGATACTTTGCGCAAAGGTTCAGAGCCGGAGCCGTGTTTGATAAGCCTATATAAGACACCACTCTTCTCTGTGAAAACCAGACTTTAGCAATTTCTACAGGGAACAGACAAGATCTTGCTGAGACCAATTGAGAATCTATGTCTGTGTGTGCTAGGCAAGAGTTTGAGGATTTTTGTGAATGCTCTTTCATTTTTTATTATATGAAATATACAGAGCAAAAACTAATAGGGCCCTGGTTATATATGGTCCCAGGCAGGCCACCTCTCCTTGCCTAATGGTAGATCCACCAAAACACTATAGACCTGTTTGACAGACCATGTAAACGGATTTTACTATCATCTGTTATGATTATAGCCTGCAACATATCCGACACATAATCTTCTATTTTTAATCCAGACAAATACATGTTGTACAAGAGCAGAGTCCTGACCAATTTAAATTACGCTACCAATTAGTTTTGCATTGGCCTGGCCTGTTTCAGCACCAACTATTGAACATCTATGACAGCTTGGAGTCTTTTGCCAAAGTTGAGGGTGAGGTTTTTTCTTCACTCTGATGGTAAAGCGGACCGTCCTTCTCTGGAAAAACAAAAACAAAAACCTCTAGTGCCAATTCCTGGGCCACATTGCATGAACTGCACGTTTGTAATCTCACTGTTTGTGATGATAATTGGATAGAAACACGTCGATCCATGACACGCACAAAGACATCATGTCTTCCACCACAACACTAATCATAAATGGAGAAGAAAGGTAATCATCAAAATATATTAAAAACTATGACATTTGTCACTTTCAAACACTGTACATACAAAACACGTGTACAGCGTTTGAAAGGATAGGTTTCTAAATGTTTGGCAAACTAAAGCTTCCCAGAATGCATCTTGCTTCGGCCACTCACATCTGCCCCATTCAAAACATCTATTATGGTCCTGAATCTTAAAGGATGCCTCATTGTCTCATTTAATCTCAGATCTTTCTGTGAACTCACCTCGTGAGAAATGGCAGAATTCCCATCCGCTCTGTGTGACCTCCTAACCTCTGCCAACGATGGAAGAGTGCAGGTTCATTACCAGTGTGAGCGCTGAGTAATCGTTCCATTAGGAGCTGTTTCCAAGCATCCTTTTCACCTGCTCTCAGGCCTTGGTAAGTGTTTTCACAATCAATACCAAAGTGGCAAGAAGTGGGAAAAACGGATCCTGCCCATGGACCATGGAGTCACACTGTCCGGATTAGCACTGCCACAAGAGGGGAGTGGAGAGCTAAGGATGGGCTCTGAGTCCTGGTCCCCTCTGTATAAATATAACTTGAAATTCAATAACATTTACATTTATATTATAGCCCTAAATCATAACAGCAGTCATTTCGGAGGACTTTACAAAGATTTCCATTCATCAAAAACAAATAACAGAATTAAGCAATTCGGACACAGGATATGTAATAAAAACAAACACATAGAAGGCATTGGTTCAGGGGAGTGGGATGACCAAAGTCTGTTCTAAAAATCCCGGATCATCACTTTCCTGGACCCTTCTGCATCTCTGTCCTCACATCACTGTCGTCAGAGGTGGTACCTCTGCAACCCTTCTCTGAGCTACCACCACCTGGTTCCAAGCCCCGGGAGAGTTCATCTCATAATCTCTATTTTAATTTCCCCTTCTGCATTTGTCACGCAGTCCTCTGCCCGAGTCTAAGTGCCAAATCATAACCATATTTTTTCATGTACAGCATGCAATAAATGTCATTCTTGCAAATAATGTAGGTAATGACAGCCGACCAGTAAACACAATTATCCTTACTTTCTTTTGTCTGTTTGAGTCTTTTCAGAATTAAGTCTGCTTTTGTGGAGAATAAACTGTAATCTGTCCTAAAAAAATAATAGTGTTTCTGCTAGAAGGTGAAACCATAGTGCATTCTGACCCACCGTTATATCAATCTGATGTCATGAGGACTGGTGCATTTGCATTTGAACTCAGTGCACACCCCAGAAAGTATCAACCCATAGACAGTGATTACAATTAATAGCAGATACAATAATTATTTAATGGATCATGTAGCACTAACAGAGTACAGCTTTAACAGAGACCGGTGCATGAGCGTAAGACTTATATACTGTAAAAGCTATTATATTATCTGAACAGAGCGCTCACTGTTAATCTTCATTTGTTTATAATTAAATCCTAAATAGATAACAATCTGGTCTAATTGTGTAAAGGGCGATAGAGCGTCTTTGCAGCAGACATTTTGGCTCATTACAGCACAAACACAGGTGCAGACTAATTGGTATAATTAATGGTCTAATGGCTTCCTCTCTTTAAGCTATAGGATAGGACTATCAGTTACAGGCATGCACGCTGGGTCACACTAATGGCCTCCGGGGGCCGATAAAAAGAGTGAAGGCAGAGTTAGTGTTGGCAGTAACATCTGTGCTTTGTGTACAAGACAAAATATACACACAATATTCAAAAGGTGCCTGGGTCTAAATGTGAGCTGAGGGAATAAGCCAGGGACTGGAAATGTATGCAGTGGGAATAAAAGATATAGGGTTATTACCTCAGTGTACAGATGTTTCAGTATAATGTTTATTTAGATCCTAATGCACCTCTCTCTTTCTAAAACATTTTAACATAATGCCATAGTGATTAACTCTTGAGCCAAAAACCAACAAATAAACATGCTGAAAGAGTCCAATTGGTGCACTGAAAATGTTTCTATCTTCCATAGAATGGTAAAACATGCGTTTGCCTTAATGAGCAATTTTCTGTTTTACTTGTCACTTGGAACTTGTATTACTTGACAACCCGCCAAAGTTGTGCACTATATGACATGTGTGGTTGTACCAAGTGAAACAATGAATTGAAAATATTAATTATTTGTCTGAGTTAGTAATAAATTCATGTTGAGAAGAGGCTTTGATGTATGATTAAGTATGTTAATGCATGCCCAATTAGAGCTATTTAATACTGTATTATTTGCTCCACAATGTTAAAAATGTCTAATTAGTTAATTAATGTTCATGGAAAATGTGATTCAAACAATCAGACATCTTTTCACTTAAACCTCTGACTTCTCTGATCCACCTACATTACATATCCATCCATCCATTTTCTACCCGTTAATCCATTTCTGGGTCGGGGGGGGGGCAGTCACGGATGCGACCCAAGTCACAGAGCACCTGCCCCTCACTGATCCTCTGCAGGTGGTGAGTCCACAGGAGGATGGCTGCTCTGTCAATGTAAGCATAGCCATGATCTCTCAGCGGGGGCTTTGGGCAAAGTGGGGTTAAGTGTCTTGCCCAAGGACACAACGACAGCAGACATCAGTGGGAGTCGGTGGAGAAGGTGTCAAGGTGGGATATGAACCCAGAACCTTCTGGCCCAAAGGCCAATGTTCTACCAACTGACCTACTGTCGCCCCATTACATATAAAAAGAAAAAATCAAAGTTGTCCTATGTGTATTTGAAAGTATTAAGAATAGCTTTTGTTACCTTGTATAAGAAACACATGCCTTGGAATATGGTGGTCTGATAAAAGGCAATCCTTTGCATACTAAAAGAAAAATGCAATTTGTTTTTCCCCTACAGAAATAGATAGGCAAGGCTTTTTTCGGATAGGAATGAGTGCGGGTGATGCTCTTCTTTTCACTTTTCTGTCTGTCTGATTTCAAGATGTGACAAAGGCCATGTGGAAACTAGTGATGGAACCAAAGTGTTTTGAGATTTCCCACAGTTCCCCATAGTGCTTGCAAAGTTAGAGATTTAATGATGGCTGTATTAGAACTTCCCTGCTGCGAAAATCTATCAAGTCAAGCCACTTTACTTGGCCAAGCACTGGTGTAAAAACTAGCCCACACATACCCACCCACCCATATACACACACACACACACATACACATCACTATCTCCAATCTGATAAGGACATTACCGACGGAGGCGCGTTACCACAAAGTGCACAGTAGGCGGCGTTATTCGACCCCCTGAGCTCTCTTCCGTCGGAGGAAATCGGTTGGCTGCTTTTCCCAGTCTCTCACCGCTTTTGTTCTCCCGCTTCCATCCAGAGTGCGCATCTGAAGAGAGGGACCCGGCTGGCGTGGAGCTCAGCACACACCATCAGCATCAGCAGCATCAGTATCAGCAGCAGCAGCAGCATCAGGACCACTGTCCGCTATCCACATGCATAGGACGAGGATACTTCGCGCCGACTAGTATCACAACCGGATTACTTTTCGGGGCTTTTGTCAATCTTTTTGTTTTGTTTTGTTGACACGGTCCCATTTTAAAGTCAAAATGGAGAACGGCGACAAATACCTCCCCGAGCTGCTTGCGGAAAAGGACAGTTTGGATGCGTCGTTTGCGCACTCAATGAAACTTTTAAATGCAGGTAAAGGAGTGTGGGAATGTTGTTTTGTATCTTTTTGCTTTGCGTCAACCAGGTGCGCCATGTGTTTTAAATCGCAGACAAGGTTTTGGGGATGTTCTGCTAACCTCACGATGGTGCCATGATAGAGGACTTGTTGGTGTGTTTTTAACATATACATGCAAGTACTAATGCAGAAAGACCAGCGTGTTATGTTGTCCAGTTCAGTCACACTTATTTTTCTCGTATATTACGCAGGAACTAGGGACGTTTCATGAGCCTGATTCAAAGTGACGCCGGGGAAAAAACCTCGCCTATTCAATTACGTTAGGCAGTTTTTCCCCCGAACAGCAATTACATCAATTGAGTTTTAATTCGCGGTGTTAACTAGTTAATCGTACCAAATGTAGCATGTAAGTGGTAGCATATAGCTTTTTTTTACAATAAAGATATGCAAAGACCAATTGAAGGAGAAAAATTGTCCCATTTGCATTATTCAAATTGTTTGCATTTATTTTTACGCCCCCCCCCCCCCCGCGCCATACTGTGAAGTTGTATTCAATAATAGTTTAGGAAAGATTATTCTTAATCTAGTATTTTTTGTAAATTAAGTTACGTGGTTCGTCTATGCCAGACAAACATAACACAAGGCAAAAGTAATAATAAATCAGACATATATATATTTTTTTGATTAGGAGACTTCCAATGCCACCAAACACTTACTGTAACAGCCAAATGACAGACATAGCGTTTTGTGTTTTTGCTCTGGCCATGGAGTGTCCTTGTGTGCATTGTAGTGCACTTGTTTTGTAAGAGAATGTCTTTTGTAATAATTTTGGGTTTTCTACTTTTTCTGAAAAGTTTAGACGTCAAAACATCTCACCGTGACATTGTACTAGACTTTTTAATCGAAAACATCCCTTTATTGTTTGGCAAGGAGACAGTTTTGTTCAAGCCTCAGCATCACAGATTTCCAAACTACCATAAAGTAAAGAACAATAGCTTAAAAGTATGTTAGAAGTGCATTTCATGGCATGTAGTATTGCTTCCTTAATCCCAGACCCACAATGAGCTCTGCAGCTGTAGGAAATCTTTGGGAAATCTGACATGTTTGCACATCATCACACACAGGAGTTGTCAAGACTGGCTTCCGACTGGAGCATAATTGTGGCTGCTGTCACATGGGGGAAAATGCACTGCTGGTTCAAGATGACAAAGTTAAAACTGTCAAATTCATGGATCCCTGCTCTGACAATACAGAAGAATAGTTATTATTTCAATGTTTTTACTTATTGGTTTCCTCACAAGCCTTGGAAGTTGAGAATGGTTCTAAATTGTGCTTATCTGTATATGCTTTGGTTTATGATAAATGTTGGAGGTCTAAATGGAAATAGATAAAAGCTTTAGGGTTTTATGAGACTTAAAAAAAAATGTAGGGATGATTGTGCAGTTATCAGTGAGCAAGCAATTGTGCTTTGTGGAGAAACACAAACCTCCGGGCTTCGTTACTGTGGTTTCGCTAACTTAATACCGAACAAGATTGTGACAGTTGAAATTGCTTGCATATTGAACACCAGAACATATTGCATATTAGCTTGTTTTTTTCCAGAGATAGAATCCAATTACCTTATGTTTTTGCTCCTCCGTCTTAAAGTGAAGAATCGCTCATCCAACATAGCATATCCAAACAAATATCGCTTGGATTCACCTTTTAAACAACTTTTTTTTTTCCCCCCTAGAAATCGACAGAATCCAGAAAGGCGAGACCAAAAAGGACACGGAGACCTACTTGGACCTCTTCACGACAAAGAACATCAAACTCAAAGAACGTGTGCTCATACCAGTCAAACAGTATCCCAAGGTGAGCCCCCCCCCACCTTCCTACACTTCACATTCTCCACCCAATCCCCTCTCCCACCCATCGCAGTGAATCCCAGTTGATTTAATTTATCCTGCCGCTGAGTTTCAATTACACAAAGCCACAGGGTTACTTGGCAGTCTCAAATTACTCCTCAACGTTGCTCTCGTAATTGCATCCAATATGGCAATGTTTGAAAATGTCACTAAATGGATCCAAATGTTAATGCGGCTGTTCCAGTGATGGCTCCATATGGGTTGTTCCCAGGCGTTTTGGTTCATTTCCTTTATTTGCCTTGGCTAAACGGGGTCCTAACTGCCTCCGCTGATCTATACCTGCCTCTGATATGTAGCTCTTATTGATCGGGGGGAGACTGAACTGGCAGCGGTGCTAAACTTGTCATGTTGTTGTTAAAGTATTGGTATTTCTTCAAAGAGAATGAGTTAAATAAGTTGAGTAATACGGCGGTCAACGTTTGCATACAAACCCCCAAAACCAATATAAACGCATCTGTGGTGTTTTTTATGTGTAATCTATTATCGAATATTCATATTTGTTTGCTTGAAAGTGATAGTCTGGAACTCTAAATGAATTACAAATTTTAAGAATTGTATTAAGTTGACCTCCTGGCCTTAAATGTTGATATAAAATAAGTCATTTTATTAATCCTAATATTACGGGGAAGTCCCGCCTTCCCTTCTCTTAGCTATAGCTCAGAATCCACGATGCCGTCCATGTTAACCAACCAAGTGATGCCAAGGGCTGTCAATCATCGGCGCTGATGCTGATGCTGCGTGCATGCTCAGTTGTTTGTTTTCATGGAGCCTCCGAATCAAGCCTCTATTAGGCTCTGGAACTACATGAAAACTAAACAAAGAATTCTGAACATCCGCGCTGAGTTACTTATGTATATACTGAACCTATATCCATAATCATTTATATACTGAACCTATATCCATAATCATTTATATACTGAACCTATATCCATAATTATGTATATACTGAACCTATATCCATAATCAGATCCTTTGCAGATGTTTCCTAAAATGTGCAATTCATGATAATAGCTACTTCCAGGTTTACGGTGATCGCTTTTTTTGTGCTTTGAAAACATATTTTTTTAATGAAAACTTTAACAAATAATTCTGAAAACCTCTTTGCATGTGTATTAATAATGTATATGTATAATGTATTTTCCGATTAACATTGAAATGTGTTACGAAAACGTAGGCGTAGACCAATCAGAAAGGAAGGGGGAGGGAGCTTGCGTCGTTTTTTTCAAATCAAGTACCTCTCTCTCTCTCTCTTTCTGACGAACTCCAGACAATCACTTTAACAACACAATTGAACAAATTCAAAGTAGTCAACTTAAATACACTTTTCCAATCTGCAAAGGAGTTTGATGATAATCGAAAGTGATATTGGCAAAACAAAATATCCATAATCATTTTCTCAATACAATACTTTGCGAACATATGAAATGGCAGTAAAACTAGACTCTAAAGTGCACAAATGTTATTGGTTCTTTTGGCACTGAAAAGCAAACAAATATTGGAACCAAAAACTGGCACCGAATTGAACATGTCGTTAATAACAAGGTTTTTTGGCCGATGGATTCTGGGGGAGCGCGAGAAAGTTCCTGGGCTGTTTGGACTCAGAACTTATAAACATCATAAATTGAGTTTTTTGGACGGTATATATGCTGGATATGATGAATACTGGAAAAGAAAACGCTGTGCTGTTCAATACTGGTACCAAAAATGTGAAATATCTCCAGCCATTTACGTTCTGTAAAAAAAGGACACTTTTTTGATTACTTATCTGATCATATTCAAACATTTAGATTAGTTTGGCTTCAATATACTCACATTCACATTTTTCTGCAAAACTAATAGTTCAAAATAAACCATTTTAGGCCTATATTATTTTTATTATTATTCATCTTCATTTCAGACAAGATTTTTATAGTAAAAAAAGAGAAAATAATGTGATTACCGTTATTTTTTTGAAAGCGTAGAAGAGATCCTCTACTGGCTCAACATTGAAATCATTATTATCATTATTATTATTTTAAAACTGTGATTATAAATGATGCCATAATCGAGCAGCCTTAGTCTAAACTGATACCAAATCAAGACTTGAACCATATCACAAACTGGAAAAAACAATATTTGAAACCAATTTAAATTTAGGACAATAGATTATTCTAGACTTTTAACTATATACGTTTCAGTTGCCTATGCCAAGCTGCTGTGTGTGGACAGGACTTTTTGGAATTGTAATTTTTTATATATTTACAACCTCTGCACGTTTGACTTCTAACACTTTGCATCTCCCTGTGTTGTTCGGCTGCTTGTAATGAGTGAGGGGAAACATGGGGTAACTACAAGCAAAAAAAAGTTAGGTTACTTAAATGGCCAAGTTGTGAAACACGTGTCTATTAGGCTTTCCTTCGCCTGACTGCAGGATTCAGTTGTTGAGTGTGTAATCAGATTGCCCTGCCCCAAATGACACGTTTAATGAGTGTTGTTTAGATTGTAATAGTGCGAACGTTCTTCAGGGGTAGTTCAGCTGTAATTGACTTTGATGGAGTCATGTAATTTAGGAAACATCTGTGGAATAATTGCATTGTTATTAGTTTGGGAAAAGGGAGTTACTTTTTAGCTCTAAATTCTTCCACAAGTGATCTCCCCTTCTCAAAGAATGCATTTGCACGTTGGCATACAGAGTCAGAAGGGGTATGGATATTATACTTTTTAAACTTTTTGTTTTGTTTTACTTAAGCTAACGCAACACAGCGAATATGGATCCAGTTGCTATTCCTCTGGGTGGATGACATGGGGCCGTGGGACCAATAATGGCTCTCTGATATTATCTTATTATACATTCATTGTGGTTCTATTATGATAAGATATAAAAAGATGTCTGTCAGGTTGTGACTGGTGGTGTCTTGAGCCTATCACAATGAGGAACTTTCAAATGCATTGCTGAATACAGTAACATTAACTTGGCCTAGAAATATGAATCTCCATAATTATAGTTAAAGAAAGTATTTGTCATTATGTCTGTTCATTGACATTTTCTAAATTAAAATGTATGTATATATGTTATTATTTTTTGACTATTCCTTTTTCTCTTTTGTTTTCTGTTTTCAGTTCAATTTTGTGGGCAAGATTCTTGGACCTCAAGGCAACACAATCAAACGTCTGCAGGAGGAGACTGGGGCGAAGATCTCTGTGCTGGGCAAGGGATCGATGAGAGACAAAGCCAAGGTGTGTGTCCACATGTTGAGACGCTGCAGCCTCTCATCTGGCTCCCCTTTCAGTGATGCAGGCTCTGGGCCCAGATGGTGGGGCCTGCAGGGTACATCCGCTTTAAGCCAAGGGCATCGGTGCACTGCACAGCTGTTCCAGGCTGCTCTTTGAGGAGACACTGTTAAATGCATTATTGAAGCATGCTAATAGAATTACATGGCTCTGCAAAACTGCTAAATGTATGCAGAGTATAGTCCTGACATCGTGATGTGGGGTTATGCTGTTGCAGTGCACATGTGTGTACTGTGTGGAAAAGTACATAGGCAATTCTCTAAACAAAAACAAGCTACACAAAAACAGATTTAGACCTTAACTGCTCTAGCTTCATTGGAATATACCAAATATTTATGGTGACTGGTCACAACCTGTTAAGTTTGTTAAAAAATATCAAAAATGTATCTTTGAAGTGTCTACATTTCAAACTATTTTTTTTGTGTTTTCAGGAAGAGGACTTGAGAAATGGTGGAGAGCCAAAGTACGCCCACCTGTCCATGGAGCTGCATGTATTTATTGAGGTCTTTGCCCCAGTGCCAGATGCCTACCTGCGGATGGCACATGCGATGGAAGAAGTCAAGAAGTTATTGTTTCCAGTAAGAACTGCATCTTAATATATTTAAGATTGTCAATGTTGAATGTAAGCTTGACTGAGTATCAGCCACCCAATATGTTGCAACTTGTTTGGGTTTCACGGTTAAGATAATATCTGTATTATACGCCATCTTCATCCACTTGGAGATCGATTGTCCACGTTGTTATTGCTTTGCATGCTTATTGTCTATGTCTTTGAGTTAACACAACACAATGTGGAAAGATTCCACATTTGAAGGTTAATGATGATGGTCAAAGAGTTTGACTTCATTTTCTGATCTACAAGAGGCCAATTAAAGCTGTGCACTTCAACATATTTTGTAATTACTACGCAGCCAGTTCTGCCTCTGCACACGCCTTCGTACAGATGTGCATGTCCCTGCATCTTCAACAAATGGATAGTTCATTTGCAAAAAAAAGTGAAAAGTATTTGAAAGGCTGTTATTTGCCCTTTGCCAAGTCATTTTTTGAAAAGCCAGATCTATTTTAGTGCCATAGAAACATGTTTCACCCCTTCTTGAGAAAAGTCTTTCAAATGTACTGCCAATAACCAGCCATGTTGAAGATTGTACTGTAGATAGAGGAATACAACTTATTTGACACATTTTTTAAAGTGAGATCTGCGTTTGCAAATTCTTGTTAAATTGAGATAACCTCTAGTTGTCTTTTCCCCTTTGACTGTTGCAATTGCCTATGGAAAAACCAGCTTCATCTTGTCTTGATGCTTGTCTCCATAACCCTTTCGATATCTCCTGTTCGCACACAGTTGTACATAAGACACCGTAGGGCATGGCGTGTGTATTTACCTTTCCCGTCCTCCACTCTCATTCTGGTCACGTACGGCCATCGGCTTAAGAGCAGGAATTGGGTCGCTTTGACTGTGTCAGCTACATTCCACCTTGATCCCCTTGCCTCCCCGCCTGTCCATCACCGCCTCTTTACCGGAGAATCATCATTCACCGAGCCACAACAAGACGTATGGCTCCTCCCAGACAGATATGTGCACAAATTCAGCCCACGCACACCGCTTTATTGGTTTTACACTGAAGGATTCTTGATGGTGGGCCAGCGCTGTCAAGCCCCGAGAGTGTGAACAGACGAGGCTTTTGTCAGATTCTATACATGTTTTAATTGGTGTGCAGGATTACTGTGGCGAATGGGTTGGATGAGAGGTGAGCTCTTGAGAATGAAGTCTCCATTATGAATTCCATGACGTTGGTGTTATGCTATGAAATTACAACATGGTCAACGCCAAAAAAAATGAAAAATCCCAATCTCAATGTTTGCAGATTGCCTAAAATCTCCAATCAGCTTTTCATTCGCCTTTGACAGTATTTTGGATTAAATGAACGCACATCTTTACTGTAATGTTATATAAAACCAGGTATTTTTGTACAATTTCAATGCACAGTAATTAATCAACCCAGTGCACAGGTGAAACACTCAAAGTGAAACGTATCAAGCCTTTGCTGCTATATAATGTTGAGAATTGGCTCACAGCTGTCAAAAGCTGCCAATCTCACTTTGTATGTAATGAGTCTGTCATACATGTATATTGATTCCACACTTTTAGTAGAATTTTTTGAACACTATTCAAATGTTCTCAGTTTTACCTGTATATGGAGATTAAGTAGGATCCAACTACTACATTTCTTGAAGCTTTAAGTCCAAAAACCTGTGATAGTAATGTATCACAAGAGGGACTGCTTATCATTTTAAGTCCCTCTTTGTTTTAGTCATCAAGCCATATCAAAAATACACTTTCTAATGTCGTATTGTGTGTTGCACCTGTTCTTTTGGACTGGTTCCAAACCTTGAGAAATTGGCAGCTTTTGACATGTTTCATAATATTATAGAATGTTATTAGATTTTAGTTCTTGATACACTGCCTCAGATTCAAGATACCGTCAGAGAACCTTTATTGACATCGTAGTGGGGACATATCAGTGTTATAAATAAATAGGAAAAAAAGAGCACTCAAAACAAGATTAGTGGTGACCTTTCTGCCCCCTGACATTTCACCCTATATTTTTTAATAACCCCATCCTCCATCACAGAAGAGGAGTTTCATCTGTCATCACCACTGCTTTTACTTAGAATATTCCCACCTCTAAAACCCATAGGCTTTGTTTGTGTTCCGTCTATTGAATATCATAAACCGCCTTTTGTTCTCTTTTATTCTCTCGTGTTTAATAACTCCAAATCTGAAACGTGATTAATCCACAGTACGCCTTGACAGCTAAAGACGTGTCGGCTCAGCTTGTTAAATCGCTCTCTGCTCCGGTGACACATCTGCCTTTCCCCAGCACGCATTTGTAATCAGTCAAATGGCCGTGTTTGCCCGGCTTCTCCGCAGACAAATTGAAAGCTCTTGCTGCATATTCTAGCATCTAGCCATTTTCTTTCTGCCATCATTAGAACTTCCAGCTCTTGCACCCCCCCCACCCGTTCTTTTTCCGCGGTGCAGATTTATGAAAAAGGATTGATTGGGTCACAGCGCAGCAGAGAAAAGGCAGGAGGATATGTGCCGAGGGGATTGCTCTGCTCACTGGCAGCTCCTCCTAATCCAACCCAACTTATTGTTTTGCGGATAAAATAAGGCACGCGCTGATGCAGTAGCACGAGGACTTGTCAGGCGGAGTGGGGGGGGGGGGGAGCTCATTAACATTTTCTGCATGTGAGAAGACATAAAAAGAGACAACCTCCCCCATCACATCCACTGCTTTCTTTCACTGGAGTCAAGTTTAACCGCACTTGCCATTAGGAGAGGAAACTAGAGGTGAAGGCAGTGCAAAGCCAAGGGTGGACAACATTAAAGAAGACATATGATGCATTATTTCTATCCTTTAAACATGATAATAACAGTGTTTTGAATGTGAAATTATTCTATAGACAATGGAGAGATGGGTCTGTGCCAGAAGTAGTAAGTAATCTTTATTTGTGTACCGCCTTTTCACTGCGGATCTAAGTTTCAAAGCGGTTTACAATTGTTAATTTTGGGCAATTGTCTCTAACTCCAAACACAGATGGGGGCGGGGTCGCCAGTACAGGAGGCGCACGCCGGAGTTACCCGGAGGAAACCTACGCAGACACGGGGAGAACATGCAAACTCCACTCAGAAAGGCCCTGGTCCGATCGGGATTCGAACCCAGAACCTTCTTGCTGAGAGGCGAGAGTGCTATCCACTTAGCCACCGTGCCGCCCAGAAATTCGCAATAATGACGTGGATAGATTTCGAACAACTATAGGTCTGTTTTAGATGAGGGATAATGTTGTCGAGCTGTTATTTTATTGTTTTTATTTAAATGGACAGAAGTTGATTAGCTCGCAGTGCACTGTCCCATTCAAAAAAACAAATTAATACAAAATAAATAAATTAATCAAAAAAGCTCAACGTTGATTTGCATATTGGGGCTGAAACACAGAATAAAGATTCAGGTTTGTGGAGGGATGTTTTTACATACAGTATTAAAAATGGCTGGTCAGCACCGATGATTGGTCTACCTCACGGATAATGCATTGCAAAGTCGGTTCGAAGCTAATGCTGGCTCTTTGTGATTTCTGCAAAAATGCCAGAGCGGCAAAAGAGAATGGATCGTTTAAACTTTTGAAGCAAATGTGGTTAAAGCTGAACTCATCATTAGGACAGTATGCACAGCTGGGGATTTTACACTTGTGGAAAATGGATGTTTTGGTTATCTGAAGGTCGAACTAGCTATAACTGTGGAGTGTCTATGATTCCTCCATGGTATAAAATCACATGCAAGCAGCAAATCTTTTTTTTTAAATGAAAGACACATCAACATTCAACAAGAAAAAAGTAATATTTTTTCCTTTTTAAAGAAATCAAAATGACAGTTTAATCACCTCAATGTATTGCTTATTTCCCATTATCCATTTATTATTCATAGTGACTATAACCATATGAACCATATGAAACTGTACTCTCCACGTGCACAGACATAATTGCTCTGCTTTTCCACAGGGAACAGTTTCCGCGCTGCGTCTGCACTGCATGATATTGATTTAATACTGGGTGTTTCTATGCAACAATGCAGTTTAAATATCTAAAAATATCTAAAATAACGTATATTTAATTTCCATTCAAGCTAGTTTTATGGAAAGTATCAAACTTAATGGACAACCAAAATAATGGCGGTAATATAATAATTACTTTAAAAAAATCAAAAGTTGCAGCCATACTTTATAGTCTCTATCTCTCCAGTTATCAGAATCATTCTCCTCCTGTCATGCATTATCGATTATCCCCGAGTGATCAACCAGAACACATTGAATCTATATTTAATCAAAAATGTGTTAAAGCCATGCTGCTAACTCATTTGAAAACTTCCCATAGTTGGCAGGAGAGGGCAAAGGAGATATCCAAATGATAAACATACAACAAGATTTGTTCTCAATTGTAATTGTAATTGTAATTAACTTTGCTTACAGGTTAATGTGACTATTTCTCAGGAGATGTTTTAGGAATGTCCGTGCCATTGGCATCACATTTAAATGTGGTAGTCATTGTGTGAGAATTTAGAGAGACATTTCTCACAATTCAATGGGTATTGATATGGTATGATACATGTTTGTTGAGACCAACATGATCGGAGGTGGCAGTGGTTTCTTAACAACCCCACAGAGCTGTTGCCGTCCCTCACAGTGAAGTGGCTGTACCTCTAACACATGACATGTTTTACAAATCCCTTGGTTAAACCATCATTAGTGAAGTGTGTCCCCTTTTAAAACTGTTCCTAAATATAATAAAGCAGTTAGTTGTCATTGTTTTTTAATCTCTCCTTTCTCTGTCTGTTCTCACTTTTCTGTGTCATTTATAGTATTTTCTCACTCCAACCCCACCCTCACTGTTAAATGAATCGTCTTATTGTATGTGTGCAGGACATGATGGATGAAATCTGTCAGGAGCAGTTCATGGAGATGAGTTACTTGAACGGAGGCCAGGAGCACGGGGCCCGGGGCCGCGGGGGCATGCCAGGGAGGGGCCGCGGAGTGCCCCCTGGAGCAGCGCACAGGTGAGCAGAAGCTGACGGGACTCACTACAGATGTGAGTGAATTTAAAACCAAGATTATTTTCTCATAAGTTGTATCAAAAACCCTAACACTGCTTCTAACAGCCAGTGGAACAGAGAGCCAGGGGCAGTGACAAACGCACAGAATATAAATGGTGAAAATTGTTCGCCCCAAGTAAAGCGATACTTTCTTTAAATATATGTTCTCCTAAAGTCACTGCTCTGTGGAGAGAATGGCTTTAAATGTTGGATAGTTTGTATTTCCCATGATACTTTTAGACAAGTTAAACATCGCCATAAGCTTTAGAAGTCAACATTAAAGAAGGATTTGAAGTCAAAACTATCTTGTTGGAATATTTCTTATTAAAAGCCAGGTGTCCACTGCACAATGGTGTCTGTCTGGGATGAAAGAAGATGATCATAAGGGAAATTGTGAGTCGTAGCAAAAAATGGTTGTGGATCGTAGAGCGGAGGGGCAACTGCATCGACGTTTCCATGATGTTGCTCATGCATGTTCGTGTGTGGTGTTTCTGGCTCTGTTTATCTCATATGAATGATGAATGAAATATGACCACATTAGTCCAGTTCTCAGGTCTCTGCACTGGCTTCCTGTGGCTCAGAGAATAGACTTCAAAGCAGCACTGCTTGTGTACAAGTCTCTCCATGGCCTCGCACCAAAGTACTTAAGCGACTTGTTAGTGCCATATGAACCAGCCCTGACTCTGAGGAGCACAGGAGGTAGCCTCTTACTGGTTCCAAGAGTCAGAACTAAACATGGGGAGGCAGCGTTTGAGATTTATGCAGCTAAAATCTGGAACAATCTTCCTGAAGATGTGAGGCTAGCATCTACTCTGGCAATTTTCAAATCAGGGTTAAAAACTGTTCTTTTAGCTGTGCATACGGCTGAAGGATTTTATTGATACATACTCTTTTTTTAATGCATTGTGGTTATTTATTATTTTAATCCCGTGTGTGCTTTTAATGTTTTGAGGTTTTTCATTACTTGTGATTTTATTCTGTTTTTAATGTATTTATTGTTTGTATATGTAGATTTTGATGTTTCTGATTTGTCTGATATTATGTGGGTTGTGAGGCGCTTTGAGTGGCGTTGTGTTGGAAAGGCGCCATACAAATAAAGTTGATTGAATGATGAAATGAAGTCAGTCCAAAGTGTAACTGCTCTTTGCCTTGCTATTTTATATTTTCACTATGAAATCCCAAAATCTTACAAGAGTAAATAAGTAAATCAAGCCTTGGATACCAGGCTTAAGAAAAACATGTGCTCTGTGTATTATTTGGCAACTTTCTTTATTCAGTTGTAACAAGGGCAGTTTTGTCAAAGTTGCAGGAGCTTTGTTAAGATTCATGCTAATTTTGTGTATACTGAAACTTATCAAATTTGCTTTGGTCAGCTTAGTCCCACACTACTGACCGTTTTATGTTGTCCTATCTGAGCATCTGGAAATTCTACAAGAGTGGAACGTTTGATTAATGTTGTGTCCTTCACTTATAAACGACATCAACAGTCCATTTTTTACAGTAGCCTTACTTAACTGGGTTTAGTTTACAGATAATAATGACAATATTTCATCAGCGTTCACCTGAACAAAGAAACACCCTGTGTCCTGAGTCCTGTATATTGTTAGACTGTAAAGAGTTGCTCTGTGCTCAGGGGTCGGGGGATGCCTCCACGCGGCGCAGCCAGAGGAGCAGTGAGTCGTGGCGGTCCAACCAGAGGAGGTGCAGTGCGTGGAGCCCCGACAGGTCGAGGAGGACCTCCAACTGCACCTGCCAGAGGAGCAGCTGCAGTCCGAGCCCGACCCCCCACCTCCGGCCCGCCCCAGAGGATGGCCCCTCCTCACCAGCACTCCACTGCGGCCTCCACCGACGACTACGAGGACTATGTGAGTGCTGTCGCCACATATAAAGCATTCATATCATTTATATACATCTATATACAGTTTCAAATAAAGACAAATAAAATTACAAAAATAAAAATAAAATATGCTACTAAGAGGATATTTTTGTTGTAAAGAGCCAGTATAAAAACATAAAATTACAAAATCCTGTTAAAAGACAAATGATCTGTGCAGAGCTTTTCTGATAGGCTTCCTTTTCCTGACAACCAAACATGAACAAGTGGCATTTGAGAATGACGTGCATCAAACAGCCGTCAACACAGAATAAACATTTCTCCTGCAGGAGACGTGTGCATGTGTCTGCTTCAGTACAGCAGGAGTACATTTGGGACAGTGGCATTCATGATTCATGACGACTCTCTCTCTAATCTCTGCGTCTCTCTCTCCAGGGCTATGATGAGAGCTACACAGAGACGGGCTACGAGTCATACGACAGCTATTACAGCCAGCCGCAGGCGTGAGTGAGGCACACACATCACCTGCTCCACACAAACTGCACCTTTTAACTCTCCGCCGCTCCCAACTCCAAAATGGGATTTGGGATATGAAAGGCTTATACTGAGCTGTGGTGGAATGCAGAGCAGATAGACTTCATGCTCAGAGGCTTGCGTTGTTCAGCAGGAGCAGCGGGGACCTGGGTGCATGCGCCCGAAAGCCAGGCTTTGATCTCATTCACACTGGCCAATTATATTCCTCCAGACATCACTGCGTAGTTAAGATAAAAAGCCTTGGTTCTAATCTTCTCCCTTCTTGTTTTTGACCGACAGAGATCCAGAGTACTACGACTACAGCCACGGAGAGACCACAGAGTCCTATGACTCTTACGGTGAGCCGATTCCTCATTCATCCAGTGTTGATGCTGTGTCAGTCCACGTCTGCCTACAATTCTGCTGTTGGAAGAGTAACGATCAGAAAATCAAGACCTGAAGTTGTTTTTAGATCCATCCACGCTATTATCAAGAACTTATTTTTCTTGCATATAACGCACCCCCTTAGCTCCTATCCAATAGATGATGTCATTGTGCCACATTAATTGACATACATTTGTCAAGTGAAATGATGTTCATTACAATTACATTGTGTGCAGCCGGTAATTTTCTGATTTGGAAAAAAACAAAAAAATCAACTCCTCTGGTGGTAGCATAGGGTCTTACAGTAGGTTTGCACTTAATACTTGTTTCACTATATATATTCTACTTAAGATGTTATTCCACATTCTAAAACAAGAGATTGTGAAATAAATGGTCTCATTATACTTTTGAATGGCCAAACATCAAATTATTATTTTTTTACTAATAAGAGAAGACATAGCACATTATTTTCTCAGTCAAAAACTCTCTAAGTGACTTCTCATCTGTCTTCAGGTCAGGACGGCTGGAACGGCACCCAGAGGACCACCCCCGGAAAGGCTCTTCCTCCATCTCGAGGAACCAAGACGCCCTATAGGGAGCACCCGTACCGGCAGTATTGAGGACCTGAGCCAGTCTGTCTACATGGCCGCGTTCGCTTTAAGCAGCTCGACAAAAGTAATTGTCAGTTTTGTCTTTGGTTTGGTCTTTTCCTACTTTGGACTTTTAAGAGTGTGACTATTGGGAACTCTCCACTGGAACTGTTTTTGTGAGAATTGACCACCACCTCTGACCCCCTCCCTGTACTCCATCGCTCCCCCTCCCACACCCATGAACCAAAGTGGCTTCAAATGGGTAGAGGACCAGCTGGTGTTCTTTCTGTTAGTTACTTCTTCAATTTTTATTTTTTGCTGTACATCTTTCTTTTACCCCTTTTTAGCCCTTTCCTCTGGCTTTTTTTGCATTGTTGAACGTTATTTGATAACTGTTGGGAGTCATAATTTCCAGTGGAAGTAGAACTTGTAAAAGGAAACAGTTTTAAAATGTTATAATGTTAATATTAAGAAAATGTTGAGGGTCAGTTGCAGATTCCCACTTAGGCTACATTTCAAAATTCTGTAAATATAGCGTTTAATAAAATAACTATTAAACTATAACTGTAAAATAAAACATACCTTTTAATTACATTAACATTAATGTAAATTCATTATTGACAATGGCTTTCATTAAATAGTTCTAAAACTAATTGATTTAGATGTCAATATTTGTTACTGTCTGTAGAGTTTTGAAATATAGCCCTAATAGACACTGTTGAGATGGACTGTCCTCATATCCTCAATTTGTTTCACCTGTAAAATATGTCAATCTTAACACAAATGTTTGTAAAAAGCACATGCTCTGTCATGCTAAAACAGACCAGGTCCTCTTTGGGGCCTGGTGATAAACTGCATGCATCAAACAAAGGATTGGGACAAAAATCTCCACATGAGAAGGGATCCTGCAGCTCAGTCCAACTCTGTACATATTAAAACATAACTGTAATGATTCTGCCACTAGTGTCTGTGCCCTCTCCATAAAATGCATTATGCTACTTGTGTAAGCTTGCCTAAATAGGTGACTAAATCTGTCTAAAATGTTTTGCAGCAGTTTGTCAATAAAGCCTAGTTTGTTTTTTATGAAACTTAACTTGCCTTATGTGTTTCATGTCAAACCTGAAATGGCCTTGTTTTAAACAATCAAGTCAGATGTAGATGTTTTCCTTTGTTTCTCATTTAAAATCATTTTAAATCTAAATGAATGTACGTTAATCTAAATGTCTTGATTGATCAAAAAACGCAACTTATTCTTTCTGTCTCTTTCTATACTTTTAAAAAGGACGCAGAGGTAAGACCTCTAAAATAACCTGGATAGCTTCGTAATGTGTATAGCGTTCTAAATGCTGGGTATGTATAAGACTTTTTCAATCCTCTTACCTGTGGTCGTAATCATAATGATAACTGCTTTTATAGCATCTGAAATTTAACTGAATTCAAACCACCATTCAGGTCTAGCCCTCATTGTCATGAATGACGCTGGCGATGGCTACTTAAGTACAGACTAAAGGCAGTGCAAGGAGAGGATGCTTAGAACCTAGAGAACTCCACTGTAAAGGTAACTTAACCCTAAATGTTTAATGTCATAATGTGTTGATCTACTGAGATAAACTTATTTGTAAATGAAAACAATTTAAAATATCTCTTCACAGTCATTACAATAAAACCACTTAAAAAGTAAAGACAAATGTAACGTCAATATTACAGTGACTTTTATGTTCTAAAATAGATGTGTTTACTAACATAATATTTTTAATAGAATAGTTTTAATGCAACTCTAGCTTAAAGAATCAAATCAACATTAATTTCTGCCTTAGAGTTGAGCTGCTGTTGCTTTTCATTTGCCATCTCTGTGTAAAAGTTGCTTATGATAATCTTTCTAAAGGTTGTGCCTGGTCAGTTATCTGAAAGAACAGCTTGAGTTGCATGAGCGTATCTTCTCCTGTAGACTTTGCATGATTCCTGTCTCACTCTCCCCCACTGTTACTGCTGAAGCATTGATTAGGTCTCTGTCCTCCTCCAGGCACAGCTCATGGTCTCAGCGCTGGGACACTGACAGACAGTCTGCTGGTCAGAGGCTTCCATCACAGGTTGGTCTTGCTCTCTCTCCTCTTCCTCCTCTTCCTCCTCTCCTGCTGTAAGCTGCGTATCTATATCACATTGTGTACGACGACTATTTCTTTATGGACATTAGGAGTGTGCTATAAAAATTGTATTGTGTCATGTACAGTATATAAGATAACATGAGGCAATGGTAAGTTTCATTGTATAACACAATTCATTCACAAGGCAACTCAAAGTGCTGAAGAAAACAAGATAGAGACAGTCACACAAGGCATTAAAATCATTAAAATGAGATAAGAGATAAGATAACATTTATTGATCTCACAATAGAGAAATTTACATAGAGAAAATGTCTCTATGTTTCATCTTTATATAGAGAATCATATCAACAGGCTCTGACAAAGGAGTCTATGAAGCAGGTGATTATCTTGGTTCTATGGGACACAAGTCGGGATATCAGACCGGATAACCAGGCTTGTAAATAGACATTTACATTTATTTTTGTATAGCACTAAATCACAACCGCAGCCATCTTGGAGGTATTTACAAAGTGGTCAATTCGCCAACACTAGCCCAGAGAACAGAGAGTTCGAACACAGGTTATACAATAATAACAAACACAAAGGAGCCATATGGGGATCGGGATGACTAATATTCATAACGTTAATTCATGTGCATACATTTCCATAAATGTTTCGGATCATCACTGTCCTTAAACCCTCCTGTATCAGAAAGGAATAACTACAAAAATGATTAACTTCAGAGTAGCCGTCACTCTTGACACCGAAGCATGTGTTGCACTTTCATTCTGGATCTTTGTACACATACAAAAACACTGACACAGAATCCTTATTGCCAAACAAAACAACTTATTTTTGCGTTTGCGTAATATGTCATATGCTTCCAAGACGTCGTTCTCCCATGGTCGTTGTTTCTCTCCAACACAAGTGCACGTTCACTCATCATTAGCTGGTTCATAGGTTAAAAGGGTACAGATAATCGTGCTGGTACTTTGTGATAATGTTTATGTTCATGATGACCTGCTGTGGAGGGCCAGGCGCAAGATCACAATAGCAACACAAAAGCCTTGTTTCTTTTAGTAAGTGGTTCAGTATTCTTTAAACAATGTTATTTGCAGAAAGAAACATATTGACATTTGGGCAATTGCCTCAAATGTTTTAGTTTTTTCTTGACTGAACAATGAGCTCATCCACTTCACTCTGATACATTAAAAAACAGGCCTGGCTGCGGATGAGCAGATAAGATGGAGGATACAGAGGCCAGTGCAGCTCTTAGATACAGAATACAGTTGTGTTCCAGTGTTTACATATATTTTGGAGATTTTGACACACATTTTTCCCACTCACGGTTAGTGGTGGTGTGAAGGTATACTGTCAATTGAACATGTTTTATATTTCAAGATTCAAGAATGTTTTTGTTGTAAAACCACATTGGAAAAACTGTGCAAGACTACCCCAGTGTGCACCAGACAGAGAAGATAGCACACACCAATTTATTTTCAATTTGTAACCATGGACTGGAAATATTAACCGAGGTAGTCACGCCTATCTCTGCCTTTGAAACTAATGTGCCCCCACTTTTTCCTTCTATGGGGCTTTTTCAAAGTGGCCACAGGGCAGGAAAATGTGAAAAAACGCATTTGCGCATGCGTTAGCCGACACCAGCCACATTCATTTAACGAGTCCTATCTGAAGTCCACAGCGGCTAAACTAGACTGGTCCGAAAAACGAAAAAATACTCAGCATTGACACACATCTGGAACTTAGAGTTGGACCAAGAGCCGACTTTTGGACCATCCTGTAAAACCATTTTTTAAAGGAAAGAAGGTGGCACACAAAAGCATTGGGTAATTCTTATTCCGGGTACACCCCCACCCGCGCGGAGGGAGATTGGAAGCATGTCAGCGCACGTGCTCATGGACCATAACCAATGAGTCCAATGTGCAGTTCATGCAAGGGGAACCACAGAAGCCTACACATTCTCATAGATGTTAAAGTAGCAATATTTTAAGAACCGAGAACTATTGAGAACCGAGGGATGTAAACTTCTTCTCAGGGTCATTGAATTAGTTTAATTTGTCTTTAAAATTTGAAAATAGAAAAGACAACTAGTAACAATGACAGAAAAAAGTGCCTGTTATTTGTCTTTTTTTGGTTTTGACGCTTTGCACACTCCAATTACAACAGTTACCATACATATTAAACCATTATTACTTGGTTTTATTGATTATAGATGTCTTTAAAACGCAAAACTAATAATGAATGAAGTCGTATTATTAAGTCGTACTTTGTTATTTGTCCAGGCTTCAAGTGCTTGAGCTTGTAAGTCTTCCTTTGTTAATGATTCCAGGAGTCTGTAGCACCTGAGAATTAAATCTGCCTCCAAGAGAAAATCCCTTTTGATTAAAATTGACAAAAGGCAGCAAACAAAGTGTATCACTGAGCTTTATCCAATAACACTGCTTCCACGCCGTGCTCAATGAACAAATAAACACGCTTGGGCTGCTGCTGTTCTTAGTGGTATTGGCATTTTGTGCTTAAGCAATACTTGGAAATCAATCCGGAAGAAAATGAGAACAATTATCAATCGTATCCATTATTAATAATGCTCATCTGTTAAAAATGTGTGTTTTCATCACCATGCTTTGTTTTTAGACACAGGTTACATTCAAGCCCTAACCAAACACTCAAATAATCGTAACTTATTAAATCTTAATTCTTGTTTTTTTTTTATACCTTACTTAGAGTTAAAGTGATGGTCAGTTACTTAGAACGCAACCAGCAGTAAGACCCGCTCTCATATAGGTGCCTGATCGGACGCAATGAATTCAAATCCCTGATACACAGCCGAGGCCCCTCCCCATTGGTCTAACTACTCTCCCCCCAGCAAATATCACTGGTGATGGTTATTCCAAGTGGAGGGACTGTTTTAGTTGTATTGATTATGAAATATGTTATATAGACGATACTACAGGGTTATGGTTAATGAATGAAGTACAATTGAAGTTTCTAACATCACCGTTAATCTACTGAGAAGAGGTTTTATGACTGTGAATTTCTGTAAATGCAACAGAACGAAAGTGTTTTTAATCAAACGGCCCCAATGTGTAACATCACTGGAACTTTGTTTTGGTCAAATGTATAAAAAATGTCATGTGATGTCACTGACCTTTCAACATCAAAACAACTGATCAGAAGATTAATCAGCCAACTAATTGTTTATAAAAGATATAAATGTTGTATGTAATCTAGAGTTGTAATCAAGGATTGATTACAACTCTAGATTACATACAACATTTAGTTAATTTAGAGCAGTTCCCAAAGTGCTGCAGAAGATGAATGATTAATATAAAATATCACAGAAGTCTGCCAACAATACAATTTAATATCATATCAGAAAAATAAGTAGCGGCTTTGTAAAAAAAAAAAAAAGCTCAACACCAATACAATGCATTAATCAACAATGCCAATAGAATCAAATTGAATAAAAATATGGAGAACCACACAACTAATGCAATGCCAAAACTAGAGAATAAAAGTGGGTATTATGTAAAAATCTGTCAAAAGTGGTACTGCAACCTCTCCCACTCTCCCTGACTCGGGTTGCCAGATATGCAGACGAGTCCAGCTGGGAACGAGACCTTTTTTAGTTCTGCTACCACATGTTGCTTTATTAGTGAGATTAGCTTCACAATGTAAGTTTTAGCAACCTGGATTACAGACTTTCTGATTGATTGGTGAAACAGTGGAGAGCGGGACACTGGAATGAAAACCATAACAAGATTTAGGGGCTGTAAAACTAATTTTGATATTCAAATTTCTCGGCTGAACTACTGTTATCAGTTAAAGAAGTAATGAAAAAGAGCAAGGTTCATTCACGCTTTTGACAGATTAGGGCCATGCTGCTACTTTAAAATGAGACTTAAATCACATTATCAAGTGTCTGAGCGAAGTTGCATGAATATATTGCGATGACATTTAATTGTGAAGGGTAAATACAAGACTTGACATACGCGTTCTCATATCCAGCAAAACCATTGTGAGCATGTTCAAATAAGCTTTTATATAACACGTGTCTGGTACATTGGGATTAGTGGTGGATATTTCGGTGCGTGCCTGGCTTCTGAACTGCCGCTGCGCTCTTGACAGCCTGTGAATTGGCGTGCGGCCGCATTCGCCCTGAGCGGCTCTCACAACACTGTCTGTGTGCTCCCAGGGAAAGTGACTAATAAGGATCCATAGCTCAGGGGTGCGGTGACAGCGGCGGGCCTGAAATGGAACCAGCGGAAGAGGTGTGTAGGGATTTCTCAGTCACGAGAGAGGGCCGTGGAAGTAATGGAGAGTCTAGAGACGCAGGACTGTGGCAGGAGCAGAGAAGTGCTATGGATATTGTGAGCTGGGCAAGGATAATGGTGCCTTCATGAGCTCTGGAGAATGTAGGTAAATGCAAATTGGAAAGTGGAATATTGCACGGCCCTTTGTCTCTTATTTCCTACTGGAGAACTGTGAGATCATTATGAGCTCTGAGATACCAGGATGAGATTGTCTTTGACCTAAAAACTGATAGACAGTATTACGTGCCAGAATGTCCAGGGTAGCACGTAACGTATATAGTGAATAACCGGGTGTGGGATGACGAAGGATGAAGGTGAGAGGTCGTAGATTAGGAGTAAAAAATAGTAGGTTTATTACACAAAACTCAGGATCCCATAATAAACAAATAAACTACTAGCAGAAATGTGCAGAAACAAAGGTGCAGCGTAGGACGCAGACGTCAGCCCTCATCTGGGCCAGGGGCCTTTTAGGCCTGGGCGGATTGGCATCCAGCAGGTGCCGATCATCAGTCAATGGGTGGTGCGGAGGAGGCACAGAGCTGAAGAGGGTGGAGGCAAGGAAAAGTACAAACCACAAGGCCCATAACACCACCCCCCATAAAACAAAACCCCCAGAAGGCTAAAACTAGAGAGGTCAATTAACCAAAATCAAACAAGTACACAGTACAAAAC